CAAAAAATATTCTCGTAGCTTCATAAAATTAAGGTTGACCCACTGATGTCACATGGTCTATTTTAATGATGTACAGTAAGAGAAGAAATCATTGAATAAAGTCATTATTTTTGTTTTCTTTGCACACAAAAAATATTCTCGTAGCTTCATAAAACTGAGGTTGAACCACTGATGTCACACGGACTATTTCAACAATGTCCTTACTACCTTTCTGGGCCTTGAACGTTGTAGTTCCCTTGCTGTATATGCAGGGTCAGAAAACTCTGGATTTAATCAAAATGTCTTAATTTGTGTTCCAAAGATGAACGAACGTTTTATCAGTTTGGAACAACATGAGTAATTAATGACAGAATTTTCATTTTTGGGTGAACTATCTCTTTAATCTGTTCTGTTGAGGTAAGCTGGTTCATTGTGTGCTATTTGAGGACACCATCTGACCCCATCTGTGTTGTGCTGTTGTGAAAAGGTCTTCTGTGTCCTGTCTAGTACTGACATGTTAAATATTTGAGCACTTGATGGAATGGGAAAGCTGACTGTGACATGAAGGCTTCATCCTCTTGCATCCAGTTTGGCATCAAGTCCCTGCACTCTCAATAATTCATTATACTCAACGTACAGAAGCGCTCGTTACAGATTCAACCGCCTTGCCATTCTGTTCTGTTTTATAGTTGTGTAGAAGTTTGCGAGAGAGATCAACACATTGCAGCGAATTAACGAGAAAGCTCACTCAAAAATGAAAGTTTTAGATCATTTACTCGCCTCTCATGTCGTTCTAAATCTGGATCGCTGTGGATTACTTGGTTCTGATTAGTCGATCGCGTGGCATCCAGCTGTCTCATATAAATCCGGGTAATCAAACCCGGCGCTACTTTTACTCGTTTCACATCGCGGAATGCATTTTCACATTTTATTCAAGCACAACCGGCGCCATCTTGCGTCTTTATTGATTGCCATGAAAATCAGTGAATAGTATAATGGACTACTTTTACTTAGCGGAAGCTGTAAGATAATTATAGGTAAAATTATAAAATAGCCTACCTTCAACTCAATAGCGCCATATTTAGTTTTTGACAGGATTGCAAACGAAGCTAGCGATTGAAGCGTGTTATGAATTGGACTGTTCTTTGCTAAAAGTTTAGCTGGTGAAACATCTTTACGAAAACACCTTCAACTCATAGAACCATTTAAAGTTGTGAGTTGTGAAAATTGCATTAATCCTCAAAAAAAATAAAAAAATAAATATGGCGATATTGCTACTTTGAGATAAATTATTTGTATTATACTGTTTGTTTTTTTACATAAAACATATACAAAATAATATACAAAATGAAGGAATCTAAATGCTTTTCTTTTTCCATACACATTCATAAAGTGAACTGAAGAACATCATACAGGTTTGGATCCACATGAAGGTGAGTAAATAATTAATTTGTGTGTGACTTTAAGGAGGTCAGTAAATTTCGTGTTAATTTCCAAATGAGGTGCTTGATAAATAATGAACAGAATAATTTGAATAATTTTATTAATAAAACATTTTTTGCAATTTATTAAAAATGTTATGATTTCCATGCAGTTTAAGGGTACAAGAAATATGAAATGAACACATCCACTTTGATTTGTTCAAGAGCTCCTGTGTGTCTGTGTGTGTGCCAGTGCAAACACACGGGACGGTACAGCAGTGGAGCACACAAGTGTACACTTCCAAAAAGCACTGTATAGAAAAACAAAACAACATAGTTGTGGAGTTCCTCTTTTTTGTTTTTGATGGGCAGTGATGAGTTTTGTGAACTCAAAAGAGATGACAAATTAAAAATTAAAATAAAGCAAAAAGACCAAAACAAAAAAAGAGCGATAAGTCTTCCAGCACAGAATAAATAGTTTGTATAGCGATGTGTAAACTTGTAGACAGCACGTTTTCACACAGTGGCAAACAGACATACACGCTCACTGCTAACATTCTGTCTTTTTAACATCATTTGTAACATCCCCCACTATCATTGTCTTATACCTCTACAGAAAAAAATAAGTTGTTTACATTATATACATTAGAAGTGGTTGTTCATTCTCCTGGGGCGATGACAAGGCCTTGCTATTGTTTCCAGTCCAGCCCAGCAATTTTCTCGAATCTTGTAGACTGAATTCCTGAATCTCTTTGCACAAATGAGTGTTTTCTTGCTTTAGAAGAACACAGCATTTGTATCATTTTCAGTTTTGTAGTTAACATCACAGATTTAAATGTCCAACAAAGCAGCTCTTGACTTCATTTCCAAGGTTATTGCCAAGACGGTCCTAAACAACCAGATGTGCATTCCACTGACCATGATACATTTTCAAAAGCAACGTGTTAGCGGGTTAACCTTGTGTTTCGCTTGATTCACAAACACATGCACACACAGTGATTTGAATCCACAGTATAGAACATATCCAAATAGAAATCATATAAAGCACTACCTTGGTCTTTATTCAGTTTTTGTGTTTTTCTAGTGATTTCCTTAAAATGAGACTACGTCACAGATTCACTTTTCCCATAACGGTAATGACATGAATACATACTGTGTAGACGGACCAGTGTTTACCTTTCCATTTTTAAAAGAACAGTTTGTGGTGCATGGTACACTCTGAATGTCTTTATGTTTGTTTTTAGTACACTTCAACGTGTAAGACAGTAGTTAGGATTGTACTGAGAAGCATGATCCCCATGACTGATGAATTCCTGTGCAATGTCAACATTAGTGTCATAACTATACACCAAAATTACAGGTAGCGTAAAACATATTTAGGATATGATCCTTCTTTCCAGCTTAATCCACCATCAAGAACAGTTAGAATGAGCTTATTATTGCCACTTTTATAATTATTATGTTGTGCATTTGTCAGAAATTATTGAGTACAATTATTTGCAAAATTATATCTATAAAGTATGCATAGGATACCATGCATGAAAGATTAAAAAATAAATTATTTTTTAATAAATCTCATACATTCTTTATGTATACATACTTTACTGTATGATTACTCTGAATACAATTGTTATAATCTCTTGATAATCTCTTGTTAATAATTACATTTCATCAGGCTTCTGTAGCCTGGACTAATTAATATTATGGTCATCATTATGATTTAAAAGTAGAGTAATGAATCATGCCCTCTCCTTGAGCAGATAACTTGTAAACATCCCATTCACTTCAACTCAGTCTAAAAGACATTTATTTAAAATAGATATTTGAGTTGCTCCTTTGGATGATTATTATTTTTGATTTGAATACTAAAGTTCCTATTTATGGCTGGAAGTTTAAAATCTCAGTAACCGGTAGCCTGAAGATAAAATAGGACCAGTGGATTTCAGTATCTGCCTATTTTATGACATTAAGTTTAAGTATGAACTTATGCATTTATTTAATGAATTTTAAAAGGTTGTATTGAGAGTATACTGTAACTATATGCCATATACTGCATGTAAGGGTTTTAAATTAAATACAATATGTAAATGTGAGCTAGCCCTTTTAACTTCTACTGATTCTCTGAGCTGAATTGTTAACACTTAATTTTCATTGTTGCTTATTACCCTCTATCTCTCCATAAAAATATAAATTTTAATATATATTTTTATAACAGATCATCAGTTAATGACAGTACATATACACATTTTTTTCAATGAGAATGAATTAATCTGTTAATGAAATATTAATGAACATTATTGTAGGTTATTACCGTAACAAATTTTAACAGGAGGTTAAAGGGCAATGAGAAACAATTAACAAATAAAGTCAGTATGCAAATAAATTCGATACCTTGATTTGTAATGTCCAATGTACATCATTTTCTGATGTGTTTTTTCTCTAATATTTGACATTAGATGTTAGTGTTCACATGTGCCAAAGATGTTTCATATTGTGGGATACTGACTGCTGAATGTGCCAAACAACATATAATAAAGACATTGAAGAATAAACAACGTTGAAATGAACTTGGAAATAAGAGCTGATTATAGTCAGAATGAAAACTCAGTCATAGTCATAAGCTGCAAAAGTCAAGTCAAAATGTAGACAATCGCCTCCGTGTACTGAAAAACTCATCGTGCATTAGAAACGTCAGTCTAGGTCGTGGCCGTCATACTAAGACAAGCTCCCGTGGCGTTTTGGGATTTTTGCGTATCTGTTTGTGGTCTTGTATTTAAAGGTCTTTGTCATCGTGACTCATTAGTGAGCGTGAGGTACTATGACAACTGCTGTTAGCAAACACACCTCTGTTGTGTTTCAATCTCCTTCTGCTTTCCCAAATGAGACAATAAATACCCATGAATGTCACGTTATCACTAGATAACAGCTATACAGAAGGAAGTCACAAGTTAAAGAAATTCTCGATGCATTGGCTTCATATGGATCATATGTGCTGTCACTGTTTTTGTCACCCGGTTGACACAATATGGTCCATCAGGCTCCAGTAAGACACACGTTACAGTAACAAATCTGACAGAAACTAAAACCAAGACACCGACGGTGAGATATCAGCTGAAACAAATTCTTGCCTTTGATATGGATGATACGTAGCTTATTTCCGATAATTCATATTTTGAGTACATTTCCAGATTTAGAAAAGTAGCATGACACCAGCTCTAGCTGATGCTCCCTATCTCTGCAAGTCATTGTGCAAAGTTTACTGCACACAGTAACATTTCTATAGCAACTATGAGGTAATTTCACTGTTGCTAAGAGCTAGGTGATGTATTTCACAATGTCACTCTGATACTGGGGCGGACCTTTCTGCCATTTCTCCCCTGGAACGGGCAAATACACGCACACTCTACCCGAGCCCTTTTAGCCCAAGCTACAACCATAGAGGATTCACACATGTTGGGTTTTTAATCAACCAAAAAAAACAAGAAATAAACAGAGGGCGGGTAAACTGAGAGACTGCACCGGAAAGTCAAAACGAGGCTTTGTTCATACAGTAGAGGATTCACACATGTTGGGTTTTTAATCAACCAAAAAAAGAAAAGAAAAAAAAAAGAAATAAACAGAGGGCGGGTAAACTGAGAGACTGCACCGGAAAGTCAAAACGAGGCTTTGTTCATACATGACTTGCTCTTATTAAGTTAATTACACTTGTGCTAATTTTTCAGTCCCACTGTTTAATACAATATCGTTCTTCTGTCTTGCTGTGTGGACCGCTTCTTTTGTGTAACCTCGCAGCTTTCTGTGAGGATATTTTGGTTTTGCTCTGCATGGCGTACCACTTCCCTGTTATTATCGCAATTTGTGAGTCTTCTTGTTCTGTAACAGCCGGTCACGTGACGGCTATCGTACATCCCAAGCATAGGGCTGCATTTGTGTGTTTCAGTCCCGATATGCAGGATCAACTCGCTCGGCTGTAATGGAAGACTGGCCCTCTAAAATCGCCGGTTTCGTCTCTTACGTCCCTCTCGGCTGGACCTGTGGCTCTTTGAGGTCACACATGCGCAACCTCTAACGTGACATTACTTGCAATAAATCGATGTAGTACTTTTGATACTCTTGATACCAGGATAGGCCAACATGATGCTAGCTGTTTTTTGAAGAAAGACAATGTGCGGTACACGTCTATAAATTTGAGATGCTAATAGTCTTATTTACTATTAACCACTTTTTCACACCATTGGGACACTGAAGCAATACAACAAATTCATACCGGTTGCAACGGCGTACGTGTCTCTTCCTGGTTCGTCGGCTGTTTGTAAAGTTCTCCGAGCACCAGGCCTCATCAGAATAATTAATTTCACAGCATATTCAAAGCTCACTTTGATGTTCGAATATGGTATTTACATGGCTGTTGACGTGGTGAATAAAGAGGTGGAGTCCTCGGTCACATACGCTGCCCATTTCCCGCAAGTTCCAGCAGAACCGATGTGCACGGATAACGTGGAAAGGCTGCCGGCGGAAGCGTCTCTTTTTTTTACCAGGCAAGGCTACAGCTCCTGTCCTCCGTTGATCCGCACTGCTGTTTAGGGGGGTGGGGGGCGTTGAGTCCATCGAGTTAGGAATGGGAGGTGACGGGACCGAGAGGATGGGAGTCTGGGTTGGGTTGCCATGTGAGGACATCCGGTCACCTCCCTCCTAGCCTGAAAGATCAGTTCTGCTCTGATGTGGCCATGGATGGTGGGAGGGGGGGTCACGAATGCATGAAGAGTTGGACCCCCCTGGGTTGCTCACACGCTTCTGTTTAACCGCTGATATTGCTCAGTCTGTCTTAAAATAAAAAAGCTGATCGCTTCTTCGGAGTGCAGGGCAGGCGGCGGGCCTCACAGGCCGGACACCATCACCCTGTAGGAGGGGGGCATGTGTCTGTGGTGCGGGCTGGAGGCTGGGCTGCTCGTGGGACTGCTGCAGCTCGCGTCCACCCCTCCTATGGAGGGCAGATAGGCGTGATGCAGGATTGGCAGCTGCAGGGACAGCCTGCGCTGTATGCTGCGAACACAAACCACAAATGGTTGTTATACAAAATTCCTAATTTTCTGTAATGCTCTTTTGTGATTGGGTGCTTAACAGTGGGGACACTCTTGCATGCATGTAACAGAAGTTCATTTATAATTATATCACATAGTCACATAGCACATTTAAGCCAGCAGTGACTTTGCCACATACTCTCAATTACGGGTTCAAGGTTTAGCTGGTTAGCATGACCTCTTTAGTCTCTTTTTTAACTACACCATCTGGACCTACACTACTGCTCAAAAGTTTGGGGTTGGTAGGATTTTTTAATGTTTTTATCCAGTCTTCAGTGTCACATGATCCTTCAGAAATCATTCTAATATGCTGATTTAGTGCTCAAAGGATTTTTTTATTATTATTATCAATGTTAAAAATAGTCGCTAGTGAAGGGTTATGGACTGTGCTTATTCTTGCGGTACAGTATGTACCTGACTGTGTGGATCAGCTGAAGTAAAGTCCATTTCATTCCTGTCTTGTGTCAGATTCAAAGTGCACCCCAAGAGGCCGGAGCCTTTTAAATCAATTACAGAAGCCAAATGGCATTTATATAAAGTGCACACACCACACCTCTCATGATTGGTTTTACGATTGGAGTCTCTTTGAGTTATTACTTTCAATTAAATATTAATTTCATACATCAATTATGGAAAATGTCTTCTGTGTTTAGAAATAATTAACATCGATTAGTCAGATGTTGCAGGTTCACTTGCAAAAACAAAAAATACAAATGTGGATGTCATTAAACTAAAACTGTAGACTTTACTGTAGACATAGAGAACAGGCTCAATAAATTACTCATTGCATATTCCCATGGCAGAGATGGTGTTATTTAGCAGGGTCAAGGGACCATCAGCTACTGGGTGGGGTAAGTGTGTGTGTGTGTTTGATGAACAGTGACACACTGCAGAATCGCTTCTCTTTACAATCAAACATTCATGTGCTGGGATGGCCTGTAGTCCTCTAATTCTACTCTCCTGTCTATTTTCAGGGTCCAGTGCCTTCCGCTCTCACTAGAAATCACGTTATGTAACCGCAGCTCCCCCTCACCCCCTCTTCTCTCTCTTTTTTCCTCTGTCCTATTTGGACAATCAAGACCTTGAAAGAAAGAACCACGAAATAACTTTTTTTCCCCTGTGTTAATGCATTTCCCCTGTTTTTAAATAGCTCATAGTACATGAGTGGCATTTCAGTGGATGATGTATGACGTAGGCCTAGCGTAAGCTTGGGTGAGAGTGACGAACGCGGAAGCGCAGAGGAGAGAGCAAAACAAAACACGGGTAACAAATTAGTACAAAACGAGGATTTATAAAGAAAAATGTCAGAGATTTTCGATATAAGCCAAGAGGAAACTGGTTTTCCTTCACTGTAAACAAAACTTGGTTTTCGCAAGACTAGCATATTCTCACCGGAGTTTACGCTATGCCTACATCTAGTGTTGTCAAAAGAACCGGTATTTCGGTACCAAGTCGGTACTAAAAAAATGAAAACGTTACGGTACCAGGTTTTTTTAAGTACCGGTGGTACCGAGTACCCGGTCAACCCGGTTCTTGATGCGCTATCAGAAAGCTATCCTCTTCCAGTGTTGCCAAGTCCGCGGTTTTCCCGCGGAATTGGGCTGCTTTAACACTGTTGCCGCGGGTTGTTTTTCATGTCCGCGGGTTGAAAAACGACCCCATTAACGTGATATTTAGCCCCTGGAATGCGAATTTTACCAGGGGAACCCCGCCAAAACATGCGTATTTTATCCTCGGAACGCGATTTTTAACGGGGGACCCCCTCGAAAC